GGACTCGGGGAGCGAGACTCGGGGAGCGAGGACTCGGGGAGCGAGGACTCGGGGAGCGAGGACTCGGGGAGCGAGGACTCGGGGAGCGAGGACTCGGGGAGCGAGGACTCGGGGAGCGAGGACTCGGGGAGCGAGGACTCGGGGAGCGAGGACTCGGGGAGCGAGGACTCGGGGAGCGAGGACTCGGGGAGCGAGGACTCGGGGAGCGAGGACTCGGGGAGCGAGGACTCGGGGAGCGAGGACTCGGGGAGCGAGGACTCGGGGAGCGAGGACTCGGGGAGCGAGGACTCGGGGAGCGAGGACTCGGGGAGCGAGGACTCGGGGAGCGAGGACTCGGGGAGCGAGACTCGGGAGCGAGGACTCGGGGAGCGAGGACTCGGGGAGCGAGGACTCGGGGAGCGAGACTCGGGGAGCGAGGACTCGGGGAGCGAGGACTCGGGGAGCGAGGACTCGGGGAGCGAGGACTCGTGGAGCGAGGACTCGGGAGCGAGGACTCGGGGAGCGAGGACTCGGGGAGCGAGGACTCGGGGAGCGAGGACTCGGGGAGCGAGGACTCGGGGAGCGAGGACTCGGGGAGCGAGGACTCGGGGAGCGAGGACTCGGGGAGCGAGGACTCGGGGAGCGAGGACTCGGGGAGCGAGGACTCGGGGAGCGAGGACTCGGGGAGCGAGGACTCGGGGAGCGAGGACTCGGGGAGCGAGGACTCGGGGAGCGAGGACTCGGGGAGCGAGGACTCGGGGAGCGAGGACTCGGGGAGCGAGGACTCGGGGAGCGAGGACTCGGGGAGCGAGGACTCGGGGAGCGAGGACTCGGGGAGCGAGGACTCGGGGAGCGAGACTCGGGGAGCGAGGACTCGGGGAGCGAGGACTCGGGAGCGAGGACTCGGGGAGCGAGGACTCGGGGAGCGAGGACTCGGGGAGCGAGGACTCGGGGAGCGAGGACTCGGGAGCGAGGACTCGGGGAGCGAGGACTCGGGGAGCGAGGACTGCGGGGAGCGAGGACTCGGGGAGCGAGGACTCGGGGAGCGAGGACTCGGGGAGCGAGGACTCGGGAGCGAGGACTCGGGGAGCGAGGACTCGGGGAGCGAGGACTCGGGGAGCGAGGACTCGGGGAGCGAGGACTCGGGGAGCGAGGACTCGGGGAGCGAGGACTCGGGGAGCGAGGACTCGGGGAGCGAGGACTCGGGGAGCGAGGACTCGGGGAGCGAGGACTCGGGAGCGAGGACTCGGGGAGCGAGGACTCGGGGAGCGAGGACTCGGGGAGCGAGGACTCGGGAGCGAGGACTCGGGGAGCGAGGACTCGGGGAGCGAGGACTCGGGGAGCGAGGACTCGGGGAGCGAGGACTCGGGGAGCGAGGACTCGGGGCGAGGACTCGGGAGCGAGGACTCGGGGAGCGAGGACTCGGGGAGCGAGGACTCGGGGAGCGAGGACTCGGGGAGCGAGGACTCGGGGAGCGAGGACTCGGGGAGCGAGGACTCGGGGAGCGAGGACTCGGGGAGCGAGGACTCGGGGCGAGGACTCGGGGAGCGAGGACTCGGGGAGCGAGGACTCGGGAGCGAGGACTCGGGGAGCGAGGACTCGGGGAGCGAGGACTCGGGGAGCGAGGACTCGGGGAGCGAGGACTCGGGGAGCGAGGACTCGGGGGAGCGAGGACTCGGGAGGGGACGGGAGCGAGGACTCGGGGAGCGAGGACTCGGGGAGCGAGGACTCGGGGAGCGAGGACTCGGGGAGCGAGGACCTCGGGGAGCGAGGACTCGGGGAGCGAGGACTCGGGGAGCGAGGACTCGGGGAGCGAGGACTCGGGGAGGAGGACTCGGGGAGCGAGGACTCGGGGAGCGAGGACTCGGGGGAGCGAGGACTCGGGGAGCGAGGACTCGGGGAGGAGCGAGGACTCGGGGAGCGAGGAACTCGGGGAGCGAGGACTCGGGGAGCGAGGACTCGGGGAGCGAGGACTCGGGGAGCGAGGACTCGGGGAGCGAGGACTCGGGGAGCGAGGACTCGGGGAGCGAGGACTGGGGAGCGAGGACTCGGGGAGCGAGGACTCGGGGAGCGAGGACTCGGGGAGCGAGGACTCGGGGAGCGAGGACTCGGGAGGAGCGAGGATCCGGGAGCGAGGACTCGGGGAGCGAGGACTCGGGGAGCGAGGACTCGGGGAGCGAGGACTCGGGAGCGAGGACTCGGGGAGCGAGGACTCGGGGAGCGAGGACTCGGGGAGCGAGGACTCGGGGAGCGAGGACTCGGGGAGCGAGGACTCGGGGAGCGAGGACTCGGGGAGCGAGGACTCGGGGAGCGAGGACTCGGGAGCGAGGACTCGGGAGCGAGGACTCGGGGAGCGAGGACTCGGGGAGCGAGGACTCGGGGAGCGAGGACTCGGGGGAGCGAGGACTCGGGGAGCGAGGACTCGGGGAGCGAGGACTCGGGGAGCGAGGACTCGGGGAGCGAGGACTCGGGGAGCGAGGACTCGGGGAGCGAGGACTCGGGGGAGCGAGGACTCGGGGAGCGAGGACTCGGGGAGCGAGGACCTCGGGGAGCGAGGACTCGGGGAGCGAGGACTCGGGGAGCGAGGACTCGGGGAGCGAGGACTCGGGGAGCGAGGACTCGGGGAGCGAGGACTCGGGGAGCGAGGACTCGGGGAGCGAGGACTCGGGGAGCGAGGACTCGGGGAGCGAGGACTCGGGGAGCGAGGACTCGGGGGACGCGAGGACTCGGGGGGAGCGAGGACTCGGGGAGCGAGGACTCGGGGAGCGAGGACCTCGGGGAGCGAGGACTCGGGGAGCGGAGGGACTCGGGGAGCGAGGACTCGGGGAGCGAGGACTCGGGGAGCGAGGACTCGGGAGCGAGACTCGGGGGCGAGGACTCGGGGAGCGAGGACTCGGGAGCGAGGACTCGGGGAGCGAGGACTCGGGGAGCGAGGACTCGGGGAGCGAGGACCAGGGAGCGAGGACTCGGGGGAGCGAGGACTCGGGGAGCGAGGACTCGGGGAGCGAGGGACTCGGGGAGCGAGGACTCGGGGAGCGAGGACTCGGGGACGAGGACTCGGGGAGCGAGGACTCGGGAGCGAGGACCGGGGAGCGAGGACTCGGGGAGCGAGGACTCGGGGAGCGAGGACTCGGGGAGCGAGGACTCGGGGAGCGAGGACTCGGGGAGCGAGGACTCGGGGAGCGAGGACTCGGGGAGCGAGGACTCGGGGAGCGAGGACTCGGGGAGCGAGCGAACTCGGGGAGCGAGGACTCGGGGAGCGAGGACTCGGGGGAGCGAGGACTCGGGGAGCGAGGACTCGGGGAGCGAGGACTCGGGGAGCGAGGACTCGGGGAGCGAGGACTCGGGGAGCGAGGACTCGGGGAGCGAGGACTCGGGGAGCGAGGACTCGGGGAGCGAGGACTCGGGGAGCGAGGACTCGGGAGCGAGGACTCGGGGAGCGAGGACTCGGGGAGCGAGGACTCGGGGGAGCGAGGACTCGGGGAGCGAGACTCGGGGAGCGAGGACTCGGGGAGCGAGGACTCGGGGAGCGAGGACTCGGGGAGCGAGGACTCGGGAGCGAGACTCGGGAGCGAGGACTCGGGGAGCGAGGACTCGGGGGAGCGAGGACTCGGGAGCGGGACTCGGGGAGCGAGGACTCGGGGAGCGAGGACTCGGGGAGCGAGGACTCGGGGAGCGAGGAATCGGGGAGCGAGGACTCGGGGAGCGAGGACTCGGGGAGCGAGGACTCGGGGAGCGAGGACTCGGGGAGCGAGGACTCGGGGAGCGAGGACTCGGGGAGCGAGGACTCGGGGAGCGAGGACTCGGGGAGCGAGGACTCGGGGAGCGAGGACTCGGGGAGCGAGGACTCGGGGAGCGAGGACTCGGGGAGCGAGGACTCGGGGAGGAGAGCGGACGGGGAGCGAGGACTCGGGGAGCGAGGACTCGGGGAGCGAGGACTCGGGGAGCGAGGACTCGGGGAGCGAGGACTCGGGGAGCGAGGACTCGGGGAGCGAGGACTCGGGGAGCGAGGACTCGGGGAGCGAGGACTCGGGGAGCGAGGACTCGGGGAGCGAGGACTCGGGGAGCGAGGACTCGGGGAGCGAGGACTCGGGGAGCGAGGACTCGGGGAGCGAGGACTCGGGGAGCGAGGACTCGGGGAGCGAGGACTCGGGGAGCGAGGACTCGGGGAGCGAGGACTCGGGGAGCGAGGACTCGGGGAGCGAGGACTCGGGGAGCGAGAGGGAGCGAGGACTCGGGGAGCGAGGACTCGGGGAGCGAGGACTCGGGGAGCGAGGACTCGGGAGCGAGGACTCGGGGAGCGAGGACTCGGGGAGCGAGGACTCGGGGAGCGAGGACTCGGGAGCGAGGACTCGGGGAGCGAGGACTCGGGGAGCGAGGACTCGGGGAGCGAGGACTCGGGGGAGCGAGGACTCGGGGAGCGAGGACTCGGGGAGCGAGGACTCGGGGAGCGAGGACTCGGGGAGCGAGGACTCGGGGAGCGAGGACTCGGGGAGCGAGGACTCGGGGAGCGAGGACTCGGGGAGCGAGGACTCGGGGAGCGAGGACTCGGGGAGCGAGGACTCGGGGAGCGAGGACTCGGGGAGCGAGGACTCGGGGAGCGAGGACTCGGGGAGCGAGGACTCGGGGAGCGAGGACTCGGGGAGCGAGGACTCGGGGAGCGAGGATCGGGGAGCGAGGACTCGGGGAGCGAGGACTCGGGGAGCGAGGACTCGGGGAGCGAGGACTCGGGGAGCGGAGGACTCGGGAGGAGGACTCGGGGAGCGAGGACTCGGGGAGCGAGGACTCGGGGAGCGAGGACTCGGGGGAGCGAGGACTCGGGGAGCGAGGACTCGGGGAGCGAGGACTCGGGGAGCGAGGACTCGGGGAGGGAGCGAGGACTCGGGGAGCGAGGACTCGGGGAGCGAGGACTCGGGGAGCGAGGAAACTTTAAAAAACCCCAAGTTCCATGTTACAGACACAGTCAAAAAAATCCTCAAGCTCCCCAACCCGTATCAAATTTTTAACCCAGGAGTACTTACCTGCCAGCTTCTGAATTTTACTTACTACCAAACAACTTCATGGGGAAGTAGCACCACCAGGGTTTTCCCATTCTGAGTAGTCACCACCGATGTTACTAGCTCATAGAGCGTCCCAAACTATTTCACAGAGATTGTAGAAAACAGGGTGAAAAAGCAGCCTACTTAGGAACACTGAGTCCATTTCACAAGGACAGTAGAAAAAGCACCCTAAGTAACCTGAATCTCATACTCCTCTAGAGTGGCAAGTTTTCCCATACTCCTCATGCTTCCTTTATATCAATTGTCAAATGATCCCCACCTGGCAGATTTCACTTCACATGTGTGGAGTCATGAGACCTTGTGGAATAGGCTCATCAACCTAGGTTTCAATGTTTAAGGTTCAATTGCTCCTTATTGCTAATAGAAATAACCTGGCTTAGTGGTTAGAGTTGACCTAATGAATTAAATACAAAAGGCACATAAGGCTCATATTTCTGCTAGTCATTCTGTGAGGAAAATTAGTACAGAGCCTGTTAAAATAAGATCAATAAACTTAAATAAAATAAAAAAGAAAATGACCTAAAAGGCAAAATTGCTGTCATAGTTTTTCATCTGTCTAGTCACGACAGATAAAGAATATAGCAATCAGAAAGACTTTGCTTGACATTAATGTTGCTTAAATTTGCTTTTCTGAGATCTCTTCTTTATGCCGGACTTTTCAAAATCTAGCGCCATGACCTCCGACTGCAGTATTTACTTTGGCTGCACATAACCTATCACGTATAAATGCCAGGATACGGATCCTCACTCCCTGTTCAGGTCAAGGACCGGGCTGAAAGTTTTGGCTTCAATTTGGTTACATGACTACATTGCTGTTGTCATGGTTTCCCCTAGCCGGCAGCTAAGCACCACGCAGCCGTTCGCACAGCCGTTCATTCACTCAAGGCTTGTTGGAGCTGTGCCAGGGGGAACAATGGCAAGGCTGGGAGAGAAGGCAATGGCCTGGCTGAAGTGCATCTACACCAATGCACGCAGCATGGGTAACAAACAGGAGGAGCTGGAAGCCATCGTGCAGCAGGCAGGCTACGATTTGGTTGCCATCACGGAGACGTGGTAGGACCAGTCTCATGACTGGAGTGCTGCAGTGCCTGGCTATAGGCTCTTCAGAGGGGACAGGCAGCACAGAAGGGGTGGTGGTGTGGCTCTCTATATTAGAGAGTCTTTCGATGTTGTGGAACTCGAGGCTGGGAATGGCAAGGTTGAGTCCCTTTGGGTTAAGATCAGCGGGAAGGCCAACAAGGCTAGCGTCCTGGTCGGGGTCTGTTATAGACCGCCGAACCAGGATGAGGAGACGGATGAGGAGTTCTACAGGCAACTGACAGAAGTTGCAAAATCGTCGGCGCTTGTTCTCGTGGGGGACTTCAACTTCCCTGACATAACCTGGAAGCACAACACAGCCCAGAGAAAGCAGTCTAGGAGGTTTCTGTGGAAGGTAGTTTCCTGATGCAGCTGGTTAGTGAGCCTACCAGGGGTGGCGCCCCGCTAGACCTTCTCTTCACAAACAGAGAAGGACTGGTGGGAGATGTGGTGGTCGGAAGCTGTCTTGGGCAGAGTGACCACGAAATGGTGGAGTTCTCTATTCTTGGCGAGGCCAGGAAGGGGACCAGTAAAACCGCTGTATTGGACTTCTGGAGGGCTGACTTTGAGCTGCTCAGGACACTGGTTGGTAGAGTCCCTTGGGAGGTGGTTCTGAAGGGCAGAGGAGTCCAGGAAGGCTGGGCGCTCTTCAAGAGGGAAATCTTAATGGCGCAGGAGCGGTCTGCCCCACGTGCCCAAAGACGAGCCGGTGTGGAAGAAGAACGGCCTGGCTCAACAGAGAGTTGCAGCCTGAGCTTAGGAGAAAAGAGAGGGTTTACAATCTTTGGAAAAAAGGGCGGGACACTGAGGAGGACTATAAGGATGTTACGAGGCTGTGCAGGGACAAAATTAGAAAGGCCTAAGCTCATCTGGAGCTCAACCTGGCTGCTGCCGTTAAAGACAACAAAAAATCTTTTTACAAATATATCAATGCAAAACGGAGGATTAAGGAGAATCTCCAACCTTTACTGGATGCGGGGGGAAACCTTGTTACAAAAGATGAGGAAAAGGCGGAGGTGCTTAATGCCTTCTTTGCCTCAGTCTTTAGCGGTAATACTGGTTGTTCTCCGGATACCCAGTACCCTGAGCTGGTGGAAGGGGATGGGGAGCAGGATGTGGCCCTCACTGTCCACGAATAAATGGTTAGCGACCTGCTATGGCACTTGGATGTGCGCAAGTTGATGGGGCCGGATGGGATCCACCCGAGGGTACTGAGAGAACTGGCAGAGGAGCTGGCCAAGCCGCTTTCCATCATTTATCTGCAGTCCTGGCTATCGGGGGATGTCCCAGTTGACTGGTGGCTAGCAAACATGACGCCCATCTACATGAAGGGCTGGAGGGCAGACCCGGGAAACTATAGGCCTGTCAGTTTGACCTCAGTGCCAGGGAAGCTCATGGAGCAGATTATCTTGAGAGTCATCACGCAGCACTTGCAGGGCAAGCAGGCGATCAGGCCCAGTCAGCATGCGTTTATGAAAGGCAGGTCCTGCTTGACGAACCTGATCTCCTTCTATGACAAAGTGATGCGCTTGGTGGATGAGGGAAAGGCTGTGGATGTGGTCTACCTTGACTTCAGCAAGGCTTTTGACACCGTCTCCCACAGCATTCTCCTCAAGAAACTGGCTGCTCTTGGCTTGGACTGGCGTATGCTTCGTTGAGTTAGAAACTGGCTGGATAGCCAGGCCCAAAGAGTCGTGGTGAATGGAGTCAAATCCAGTTGGAGGCCGGTCACCAGTGGCATTCCCCAGGGCTCGGTGCTGGGGCCGGTCCTCTTTAATATCTTCATTGATGATCTGGATGAAGGCATTGAGTGTACCCTCAGTAAGTTTGCAGATGACACCAAGTTAGGTGCGTGTGTCAGTCTGCTCAAGGGTAGGAAGGCTCTGCAGGAGGATCTGGATAGGCTGCACCGATGGGCTGAGGTCAACTGCATGAAGTTCAACAAGGCCAAGTGCCGGGTCCTGCACCTGGGGTGCAATAACCCCAAGCAGAGCTACAGACTGGGAGAGGAAGGGTTGGAAAGCTGCCTGGCAGAGAAGGACCTGGCAGTATTGGTGGATAGTCAGCTGAATATGAGCCAGCAGCGTGCTCAGGTGGCCGAGAAAGCCAACGGCATCCTGGCTTGTATAAGAAGCAGCGTGGCCAGCAGGGCTAGGGAAGTGATTGTCCCCCTGTACTCGGCTCTGGTGAGACCGCACCTCGAGTACTGTGTTCAGTTTTGGGCCCCTCTCTACAAGAAGGACATCGAGGTGCTTGAGCGAGTCCAGAGAAGGGCAATGAAGCTGGTGAGGGGTCTGGAGAACAAGTCCCACGAGGAGCGGCTGAGGGAGCCGCCTGTTCCTCCTGGAGAAGAGGAGGCTCGGGGCAACCTTATTGCTCTCTACAGGTACCTTAAAGGAGGCTGTAGCGAGGTGGGGGTTGGCCTGTTCTCCCATGTGCCTGGTGACAGGATGAGGGGGAATGGGCTAAAGTTGCCCCAGGGGAGTTTTAGGTTGGATCTTAGGAAGAACTTCTTTACCGAAAGGGTTGTTAGACATTGGAACAGGCTGCTCAGGGAAGTGGTGGAGTCACCATCCCTGGGTGTCTTTAAAAGACATTTAGATGTAGAGCTCAGTGATATGGTTTAGTGGAGGACTGGTTAGTGTTAGGTCAGAGGTTGGACTCGATGATCTTGGAGGTCTCTTCCAACCTAGATAGTTCTGTGTTTCTGTTGCAGTCTCCCAGCTCAGAGCCAGCCACCTATTAGTCTGGCGCAACGGATTTGTGTGTTCCTTGCACTAGCTCTTCCTTCACCTCCTCTTCACATACAAGGACACGCATCTCTTTCACGCTCCTTCAGGAGTAAATAAGCCAGGAGAGATTAAAGCCTCTTTCCTCAGGTCAGTAAGATCCCTGCCTTTGGTTTCAGTGAGAATTCAGGCCCTAAAAACTCAAGTGTCTTCTGGACGGTGTTTCTTCTGGTAGGGTGATTTCATTTCTCTTTTGAAGGCTTACAGGGATGTAGTAGCAAAAGCAAAGGCATAAAACGGTACCTGAGGCACAGGCTAGTTTTCAGCCTGCAGCAGACTACAGGTATGATATCATCCTTTGATATCATACCTATATCATATATCACGTTATCATATCAAGAAACGTAGAAAACTGCCTGTTGCTTCTCGGGTTTAAAGTTTTCCCTTTAAAGGTGTATGCAAAGGTGTAATCAGCTGTCTGAGTACAATTCTCACGTATACATGAACATTTTCCTCTCCCCTTCCCAACTTGGAGTGCAACACTTTTCATCATACTGTTATAAATTCCGAGTCAACTTAGCTTTATGAGATTTATTTATGGGGTTAATAAAAGGCAAGTAAAGAGCGCTGGGTGCGCGGGGAGTCTGGGCTCCTCCAACACGCACACACGTTACATCAGGCGGCAGCTTTTTCTGCTCCTAGGCTAATACATGTTCATTACTACTTCTAGAAAAGGCAGTGTTATTATAATTAGTTCCCGGATTCTGAACCCTCCCACTGGCACATGCATATCAGTCCCCGGTGGTCCCTCTGGGGGTCTCTCGTGCTGAAAGCTCATAGTCTTCCTCCCAGGCTTTGTCCTTCTCCTTCTCTTTTGTACATCTTAGCTGGATATCAGGCTTGCCTCTAACTCTATACAAAAAAGAGAGAGGCACACCTTTCTACTCTGTCAGCTACTGGCAGACCTAGAGAGAAAAAAAAAAAAGTTGTTAATTAGAAAGTAATGTTGTTTTAAGGCATTTCACCAAATATGTTAATATTTGGTAGAAACCAGACAACAAATGAAAGGGAAGAAGAAACGGTAGAAGGTACTTGCATGACCTTAATTTACACGGCAATGGACAACAACAACAACCTGCAATGATTCAGAAGTGCCTTACACCATTCACCCTTGAGACAGAAAACTGGGATTCCCATATGATGTAAGGGGAGTGCAATCCCTCTCAAAATACAAGAGCCTGGGGGACACTACCAAGTACTGAAAAAGTTAAGGCTAGGCAGCACCAAACTCAACAGAGAAGGGAGGCCGAGTCTCCCTGGCTGTTCACGTAACAGACAAGAGCCTCAGCTTTTAGCCCTAAGCCACAATTCGTAGTGCCAGGCGGGGAACTAGTTCTTCTTAAGCCAGGGACCATTTCAGCATCTTTAAAGCTACAGAAAGGCTTGAAGGCTCTGTGGAATCATGTTCCTGGCACAAAAATCTGGGGACCAGGACTGGGCAAGTGGGGCACAAGTGTGCTGGGGAGCAAGCTCTCTGGGCTGATTACCAGGGCTTTAAACTAGGTTTGATGGGGGAAGGGAGGGGAGCTAAAGGTGACAGAGAAGGGCTGGGCGAAGTCCTCACTACTCTTATAAATGGCTCAGTCTTCAAAATAGGACTATAATCAAAGTTTACAATTTATTAAAGGAATAGAGGTAAGCAAACAGTGCTGGGTGCACTGGGAGTCTCTGCTCCACCAGGACGCACACCAGTTACATCAAGCAGCTGATTTTTATGCTCCTAGGCTAACACATGTTCATTACTGCTTCTAAAAAAAACAGGGTTATTATAATTAGTTTCCAGAATCCAAACCCTCCTACTGGAGCATGCGTAACAGTCTCCGGTGGTCCCTCTGGGGGTCTCTCATGCGGAAGGCTCATAGTCTTCCTCCCTCTGGTCCTTCTCCTTTGTCCAGCTTGGCTGTAAGAGACTTGTGCAGCATCCCCTGCAAACTTTGTCTTTTAGTCGTTCTTCAGCTTTCCCCGTCTCCTTAGTCTCCTGGCCAGATACCAGAGACTTGCATAGCGTCCCATGCAATAGTCATAATAGTTAGCAGCTATTCTGAACCCCCCCCAGATATCAGAGACTTCAAGTAAAAGCCTACAAATACATTTCCCTTCAAGCTCTCTATTGACACAAATTGAATTGCCAAAATATTCCTTTGCAAGGTACAAGAACTACATACATGTACATTAACCACTCTGTTTTTCTTAGACTTGTGCTTATAGAAGGGTCTGTAGGACAGAAGGTCACATTCATCATACCATGCAGCCCTAGCATTGTTCCATACTGCCACGGATCAGATGAACACATTTCACACCACTGTCACTGTTGAAGACAGGGAAAAACTTCTGAGCTCTCCCATAGGATTGTCTGAGGGCTCCTCAGAGAAGGTAGCGTTCCCAATCCCCCGTCCAGTATCTTCTTCTTGCATCCTCCCAGGGTAACTGTACCTGCTGCTTCCCTAAAGTGCTTGTGCATGGAGCGTGGGAAATAAACAGGATGAGCTCAAGGTCTGCATTCGGACGCGGGGCCACGATCTCGTTGCGATCACTGAGACGTGGTGGGACAGCTCACATGACTGGAACACAATCATGGAGAGCTACACCCTCTTTAGGAGAGACAGGCGGGGGAAACGAGGGGGTGGGGTTGCCCTTATGTGAGGGAGCAATTAGAGTGTACCCAGCTCCAGCTGGGGGAGGGTGATGGACAGGTGGAGAGCTTGTGAGTAAAAAGGGACGGGACCAGGACTGGGGACCAGGACTGGGGACCAGGACTGGGGACCAGGACTGGGGACCAGGACTGGGGACCAGGACTGGGGACCAGGACTGGGGACCAGGACTGGGGACCAGGACTGGGGACCAGGACTGGGGACCAGGACTGGGGACCAGGACTGGGGACCAGGACTGGGGACCAGGACTGGGGACCAGGACTGGGGACCAGGACTGGGGACCAGGACTCTTACAGATGAGGCTAATTTACTGAAGTTCCAAACTTTGCTGTAAACCAATGTTCACATCACATCACAACCACTGAAAAGAACAAATAGAAGCCAAACCTATTTTAGCCAAACTTCTAAAGAGCAAGAACAAGGTGTATTTTTTCCCCACCGCTGTGGGCTGAGCAACAAGGGAAGAACACTTTATGCTCTCAGCTTGAACAATGCTTAAATCCTTTTGAAATTAAGTAGTTTGTATGCAGTAAGATCTTCCAGAAAAAGCTCTGCATTCCTCATGCACTAAAGAAGGAATGATTCTCTAGTTAAGCGCTTCTTTCTTTCTGTCTAGATCTGTACTACCATGAAGATTCTCAAATCCTTTTAACTAAAACCACCAGAAACTGAAACATGCTCGTCCAAGAGCAGAGGCAACAAAAATCTGTTAAGGGAAAGCAAACTGAAAAGCCTATTTCTGACATTTTAAACAGGCTTCCTTTTTGCTTTCGTTGTAGTTCAGAAGCCAGAAAACTGGTAATATCATATTCCTCTACTAGTTTTAATTTATTTTTCTTTGGCAATGCATTACATTAATGCAGTTTTAACACAGATAATAACAGTACTTTTTAAGAACAGAAATAGCCCAACAAACATATGCTTAAGAACTAACTGAAAGGCTTGTTTAGAACAGCTTGTCACAGGCTCTAGAAGAGACTACAACAAAGCTCTTCAACTTCTGATCTGCAGGCAGCAGTTGGTCCCTTAGCACTTAAGAAAAGCAAGTCTCTTATTAAATTTACTGTAAAGAATATCAGTAATGTTTTTTTTTCCTTACAAGCCAAACAAAAAAGAAAAAAAAAATCTGAATATTTTACATACTAAGTACTTCAGTGCTACTGCTAAACGGTGCAGAGCAGAGCATACCAAAATGCATCAAATCAACAAAAAAAAAAAACCTTAAACCCTATGTTAGAGATCAAAAAAGGAAAAACTGCCTGTAAACTTGCAATACAAAATTGTAGAAAGAAAGGGTGGTTTAGATAAAGAATAATAGACACTGAGGCATAGAAACTTTGCATCCAAAAAAAAGGAGCATTAAAAAAAAAAAAAAAAAAAGATGAGGTTTAGGTGAGTAGTCTCAGGAAGGAGAATATACAGCTGAAGAAGACTACAAATTAAATGCATGCAAATCAGATAGGAAATAGAAGACTGATGCTTCTGTTTAACAGCATCATTTATTTCTGAAAAAGCAGCATTTCATAGCAAAAATAAGAAGTGTCTCCACCTCAAGTCAGAGAAAAACAGCTTACTAAATAAAAACAAAAAAAAAATGTTGACATTCTCATCACTATCCTGTAGTACACTGCAGTGTCAAGGAGTATTCTGTTGTTCTTGTATTTTAAATTTTGATTAGTAGGGGAAATACCAAGTTTCTCAAAGCCCAAACTTCCGTTTTTATTTCTATAAAGCACATACAATTCATACAATTATGTAACGTAAAAAGATTCACATTCAGTAAATTAGTACCCTATAGATTAGTCCTACATGGAAAGTAACACCTTCATTGCATTTGTGCATCTTGGGATATTTTATTTTCAGCAAGTAAGGCATTCACAGAAAGTAAAAGCAAGTATCCTGGCAGCAAATATTAAATCTCAAAAACACCTAGTCTTCCCAAATTAAGTGATAAAAAAAGAGTCTGATTTACATACCTAAGATTCTGACTTATGTTGTGGTGTTTTTGTTTTGTTTTCTTTTTAAATACATTTACTTTGTAGATCTTGATCACAGAATAGCTGGTAGTTGATAGACTGCAGTGGTATTAAACACCAACATTTGAGAAGTATTTTGCAAAGCAATTACTCAATAAGCAGCATTACTCAATTTATACCTTCATTGTATGATGTAGCATATATATTCTAGATTGTTCTCCCTATAGCTGAACTGATTTGCTGCAAAACAGGATTTCTTTCCTCTACTTAGAATACTTCAGGTTATGGTTTCATGGGAAGCCATAATCCTATGTGTGCTTAGTATTTCATTTAGGTAGACTTGAAATACTCCATGCACAGAATTAAATACGAAAATACACAGCAGTCATCTGAATTCTTCATATGCTTTCATGTAAATTACTTACTGACTGAGGAACAATTTCCTTTACTTGAAAACATACCAATGAAAACATACCAATTGATCTTAAACAGTGTCTGCAAACAATTTCTTTCTGAGAAGATGGCAATAAATCATCCATACCCAAGTTGTTTTAAATCAATACACACTATTATTCAGAACACTGTAGAAGCAAAACCACAATTCATTCTTTTAGTACTAGCCTATATTCCTAGCTCCACTGACAATGTTCACAGCTGCCTTCAAGTATTGTCTCCAACTCCTCTTTCAGGGACAAAATGCTGAGAATGTCTGCCATGCTACAGTACTTTTGTTAGAGCTTAACTCTTCCAACAGTCCAACCAACCAGCATTTTCAAATAGGCCTTAAACATTTAAGCTGCTTGATAGAAAGTAGAAACTGTGTGAAAAAAAAAAAAAAAAAAAAAAAAACATTTTAAGAAACAGGTATCAGCCTATTTGCTCTAACAGTTTAAAGACATTATGAGAAACACCTGTAAGGAGACTGCCTGTTCATCCGCTCTTTATAGCAACTGGGTCTCAGGACAAGGAAGTATTCTATATACTACCACAGGACTACTTTATAATCATGTTAATAACAAAAAAGAATAAAAAGCAAGGCTTACAGTTTGACTTTCGGGGAAGTCCATCTTCAGCAATTTGTGAGCACATTCTTCAAAGTCTAAGCTATAATAAGATAAAAAAAATTCTCCTTATCCGTGCAATGTAACTACAATAAAAACCACTGACCTTTGTTCACTAAAACAATTCTGATTACAGCAATATTAATAGAAAAGTCCCAGCACGCTAATTTCATAAACACTTTAAACAAAATGAATTTCTCTTAGGATGATAACTCATCTACCCATTTGTCAAACAATAGTCTGCTTTACACTATCAGATCGGGCTCTGTATTGAACTTCTTAAATCCTGATTTGGCATACAATTTAAAGAAAAAAGAACATTCAATTTCCACCACGTCAAAAGAAACGCACTTGAATATAAATTATATAAACCTTTACCTTGACTGAATAGCAAGATAAATTGTACGACGGAAGGAGACCAGGTTAATTTCTGTTTTGTCATGGACTGTAACTTTCTGGCCTGGGAAAAGAAAAGCAGTTTGAAATAGCAAAACATCAAGGCAGGTCTAAGTAATCTCTTATAACACATCTGTTTTTATTAGGTCTGTAACACACTATGCAATACTTTTTATAGTCTTAAATATTTGTAATTAGCAACTTTGTGTGTGATATATATATATATATATATTTTCTTTTACAGGGGGGAAAATAAAAAAGCAGTGTTTGTATGATTATTGACCAACAGGTAAATATTTAGATAAAATTTTAAGAGTTTGATTCCTTTGAAATCCTAAAACCTGATTTAGCAATTGCACCACTGGGTTTAACATTCTTTGCTTACGTTATTAACAAAGTATTTTCTGAATAATGTAACTATACAATGCTTTATATAGGTCTTCCTGTATTTTACAAGAGAATTTTTATTTCCACTACATGTAGAATACATTCTGCAAAGTCCTTTTTTCTCCTGAATCAAGAGCAGAAAAATCTATTATTCCAAACCACAACCATTCCAGAAACACCTCTATTCACTATTCCTTCAGTCTTTAAAGTTTAGCAATAGCATAAACATCCTGTGAATTCTCATGCTCTTCCCTTCCTTGACCCCTCCAGTCAGCCAGAGGTTCTGTGGAAGTTCTGCTCTACTGTAAAATACTCTGCTAAAGTAGTGAGGAAATTTCATTCTAAGTACTCTACAAGAATAGCACTTTGCTTGCTTTTCAGTTACAGACTCTACACTAATGTATATAATACAACCGAACTGAAACAACGTATATACAACAGTATATGAAAACACATGAATAGAGGACTGGCACAGATCAAGCAAGGGGGCTGAACAGAACTGAGATATAAACAAAAGATGTACATACATTTTTAAGAAAACCTAATCTGATTTCAAAAGCAAGTTAATAACAAGATATAACACTAGACATGACCATAAAGTTTTTGTTTGTTTGTTTGTTTAAGTTAGCATTTTCATGTAAGTTATTTTTAACATTTTAGGTCTGCAAGGATCTTCTTGAATTAAATTGATAAGGTCAAGAAAAATCAAGCAAAGATCTCTCTCGTTTTGTCTATGCTGAATGCTTCCTTTTAAACGGAAGGAATACCGGATGGAATGGAATACTACTTGCTAGTATTAAATACTTAGATCTAGGAATAAGTTTGGATTAAAACCTCCCTCAATATTGCAACATTCTTAGTTTTGGAAAGCGTGTAACAGAAGTTAAGGTCTCCTTTCCTGTTTCACCTACAAAAAAAACACACGCACAATAGGTCTCCAAGCTGCCAGTCACACACTTACCATCTTCATTCTCCTCTTCATCTTCCTCTTCATCTTCCTCACTACTTCCAGCTTCTTGATCTGGTTCAGATTCACTGTCACCTTCATCAAGGATTTCTGAAAGAGCAGTATCCCAGATTAAAGAAATGTAGTATCACAGTAGTTTCACCATTAATGAACACCTGTTCCAACACCTAAGAGTGAAGGAGTGTCTCAGGTGGACAAGGTATGTCATAACCGAATGATACATAGTTGCAGAAACAACACTGAAGAAGACAGCAGGAATACACTGTAAAGGTGTACCATGAACTAAAAGACAGTTATTTGGGATACAGATACCACCTGCTGTTAAATAATAAAATTGGTAACAGTTGAATAATTAAATTAATTATTAATTATTAAATGAATAATTAAATAAATTAAATAGTTTACATTTATAAACGTATATAAGTATCTATAGACATAAATATGCACACATTATACATGTAAAATACTTAATACCTCTGTTATATATGAAATGTGTATACACACCTACCTTTCTTGAGCATTTTATGTTTCTCTTCATTTTCTATAAAGTTTGGATCCATCTTGAAAACATCTTTAAAATAAAAAGAGAATCTTTAAAATACATCAGTGAAGAAAAATACTGCAAATTACATCTCCAGTTTATATTCTTGGGGAATACAATCACAGAAGTACCTCCCATTTCTAACTTACTAAGAATATCCTCTGGGTTGTATTCATCCTCTAATGGCAACATATGAGTAAACTGATCCTCCTCTTCCACTAGATCTAATCCCTCTGGAAGGATTGGATGATCCTTGAAGCCATCTTTCCGTACAGCAAACATGACTTCTATCATGTACTGAACACGCATGTCAATTTTAGACTCATGCAGGATGTGTCGAAGACGGTCAAAGATTGCTTTCAAAATAGACAGAAATGTTAATATGAAAAAGGACTTTCTAATACAAACAAAAACAAACCCTAATGTTATTGCTAATTATACTTACCATTAATACCTCTAGGAGAAACTTCAGTTAATTTGAGCCCACTCTCCTTAAGAAACCCAATTGCTACTTCAATACTGTCATCAGTAGGCCTTTCAAGAAGCAAGGTGAGCATTTCCAAACATAAAACCCCATGAGCCTGTAAAAAGAATATCAGTAAATAACATGAGTTTACAATGTTCCACAATTAGTAGTGATTTACTTGACTGAGAAGTCTAGCCTTTGAGGATGTCACATGACTCTTGTTTAATCATGCATACACAAGACAACACGCTGGACAAAGCTAATTAAGATGTAGTCAACATTTCAAATACAATTTTGCTATCTGTACATACATCATCTCCATAGTCAATGACAATACTACCGAAATGTGGCTACACTCTGGTGAGCAAGCAATGAAAAACATTTTGCCACTAAGAAAAACAGAATGTATTTCCAACAAGCAAATAAAATAACACATTACTAAAACTACCTGGATGTAAAATGCTAGTTTTGGAAGTGAATCGTGTCTATAATCAAGCCAATCTTCCAGGCTTATGTATGTAAGCAAATGGCATATATGAGATTGTTTCTTTCAGTCTTTTAGAAAACCATTGGGAATATACATAATTTTATTAAAGAAGAAACTAATGTTTTAAACTGGGGTATCCCATTTAACTGAGGTAGAAATCCTGGTATTTATAACACAGAAGATAGTGGCATACAAATAGGTTCAAATTTGATTTAAATACAACTGAATCTAATTCTGCCTACAAAGATGCTTAAGACTGCGTGAGATTACAGCATTGTGAGAAAACTCTGTTTAAGATCTGTGGGACAGAGCCCCAGACTCAGCCTTTGAAAAAAAGCAAACTATTGGAATACTAGCCTACACACTTACATGAAGTTTTGGGAAACTCTGAAGCATAAGTGCAATGGCAAGTGAAAACATCATAGCCAAATTACCAGATAGAACGTCTTTTCTAAAAAAGGTCCTAAGCACTTACAGCAAATACTGTAACCTTTAGAATAGAGAAAACATCTTCACTTGGGCTACCATTGTCTTGAAACTAAAAAATAAATACAAGAATAGCCATACAAAGTATGGATCAAATAGTAACATACCACATTCTGATTCATCAGATGTGCAACAAACTTTGAAGATGTTAGACAGAGTTGCTGCAAAAAAATAGAGCAGGAAATTACAATGCGTCAGGAAATTACAATGCATCTTATACAGAAGAAAAACTTACAAGTCAGACACTCTTACTAAAGATTTGTGCATATCAATCAAATTAAGTCATGAAAATAAATATTTTGGTATGTTCTACAATTAGGACTACATATTTTCAAATAAAAAACATCACAGTTCCAACATGAAATAGGTTGTCAAGCTTTCGTGATACTCTAATACTACTGTGCTTCATGTACTTATGTTAAGTCAACATGTTAAGTCAAATATAATGATGGGTCCCAACCCACACGTCTCAGCTGCGTTCCTTCCAAGTACATCATTCGAATGTACACGGTAGAAGTTCAGCACAGAAGAACTATATATCAGAATGCTGCTTCTTGACATTTTACATACCTTATCATTTCTGCGATATCCTTTGCGAAAATTTAGTATCAACCTCTTGAGAATCAATTCACCAATATTTGGAAACTTGGAATTGATAATTGCCACAAGAGCTGCATAAACATGGGTAAAAATTAGAGAGGCACCTTGAGCTTGCAGAATGGATCTAGACAGCAACCCCCTGTAAAAATACATAAATGTTTTATTACAAGAAAAAACTTTTATGCAGTACATATCATAAAATAGGATTGCATTGTTAGAACAGTTTGAAAATGACAGTCTGGTATCCTTCTATCAGTTGTTTATTGTGCAACAAATGGAGTTCTGCAAAAATCAAGTTTCCCAAACATGACTGAACCCAGAAACTCTTAAACTAGCACCATATCATTCAAATATTATGCCTATTAAAGGTATCTTTTTAAGTGGTAAGCACTTAAAAAGTCTCTATCTTGTAACCTGCAATTATCCTATTTTTAACCACACTGCAGGCTCTTAAGCTTTTAAATTTGTATGACTGTGCTGTTTCTTCCACAGCCCCCTCATTGGAAATAGCAAAAATCGCTTTGTGACAGAAAAAACATCTGCTCTGAAACTATTTACAATGAAGAATTATGATCCAAAATACTGAATAACGTAAGCAAGCAAAACTAGATGGGAAATCAAAATTATATTTTCATGAAAGATCCTTAAAAGATCTACCTAGGAATAATAAAATTGAATGCTTAGCAAAACCAGAATAGGCAAAATAATACTTTTCAATGATTTTCTCAGATGAACCTGCATTCTTCAGCATCGTAACTATGTTTTGAAACACAAGATCACCTTTTTAGAACCGAAATAAATAACAGCAGCGAGCTTGGCTTAGAAGTTATTACATCATCCTATGTATATTTCAATAATGAAGTCTGAAAAGAATCTTCTGAGACCTCTCAGATATACTTTTTCTAGTGCAGTAGTAGATAAGCTAATGCAACAACATGCAAATTCTATAACAAAAGGGAGACAAGAAAAAAACCCTCGCAACATAAATCTTTAAAGTACATACTTGAAAAACAACTGTCTTGTCTATGGTCAATTGAAATTCGACTGTCTTTCAAAAGAAACCCTACACAGATCTAAATTCAAACTGCATCAGCTTATTTGTACTTAAATCAGAAGTCATCAGTTGGAAATAATCACTTTATACTGGTGTACAGGAACAGAATATTTTGTTTTGAAACTTAGATGCTCTCAGACGCAAGTGAAAATAGTCTAGTTCAGACCGCATTTACTTATGCGGTTGCCATGACTTAGTAGTGATCTCCAGGAGCACAGTAATCATTTCTCCACATTACAATGGCAAAGATAAAGGTGGAAAACAATCTAGTCGAACAGCTGTAGTAAAAAGTGTATTTTCAGACAATATTTAGCTCCAGATAAAATCTGGGAATACAGAAGTAAATAGACACAGACATGTATGTTTCAAAACATTCAAGAAAAATGAGCAGGTAAAACTACTGTGAAAAGGAAAGCTATCATCTGTTGTACTGTCTTATTCTTCCAAGCATACAGTACTTCCTCTACCTCCCCCACTCCCAGTCCCTTTTCCCAAGTAGGGAGCTCCTCTACACTGGACGATACAGCCTAAGGTATTTAAGGAATTTTAAAATCAGACCAGTATCCATATACTAAGCACACAGAGTGATGCACAAGTGAACAATATACCTATTAACACAAAGACAAAAGAGATGCTTTAAAATATTTTATCGCTTACCTTCCCCGAACAATATTTTCCTGAAGGAGCTCATGAATGATATTTTCTATATTAGAAACATTCACTTTATTGACAAGACCATTGATCGACTTCTTCAAGGCTTCCCAACTCATTCTCTGATATGCCAAGCTATTACAAAGGTATCACAAATGATTAATATGTAAGTTTAAGGCAGTATTGTTGTAGAGTGTTATATAAAAGCATGAAGGCAAGCTGTATTAAATAACATAGCAAAGAAAACATTCACTGCATAAATGTGAAGGTCAGTTCACAGTTATACATTTAACTACCAGGAACCTACAAAACCAACATGATATACGAAAATGTAGTTCTCCACAGATATGGTATTAACCCAGCATGTTTGGTTTTCTGCGGTATTACAAAAAAAAAAATAAATCCCTGTTTATGCTCTGTATTCTACTTCTCCATTAACAGCAGAAGTGCATATAGTCATAATCTGGTTGTTGTTTTTTTTTTTGTTATTGTTTGCTTTTTTTTTTTTCTTTGTCTTGTTTTACTGGTTGGTGTTATACTGTTTTCCCAAGAGACAAGAAGGAAGAAGACTACAAGGAGACAGCTCACAGCTGTTTTTCTGAGAAAACTGTACCTTCAGAAGAATCATTACAGCCCACAAAAGGTATCCCATTTTCACCAACATTTCCTAAAATCCTTTACCATCAACTCACCTATTTTTATCAGTGATTTGTTCTTGCATCATCCTGAGCTTGGCAGGTGGAATATATGCACCACCTGTGCGAGTAAGGATTGGATCCACTTCTTCTTTCTTTTTCTTTGATGTGGCCTCATCATGAGCAAGCGAACTCTGAACTGTTGATCTCTCTGGACTTCTACGATCAGGGGAAGAGAGTCTTCTCTGCTTCCTTCGATCAGATTCTCTTTCCTCCCACTTCTCATAATGTCTGTCTCTCCCTCTTTCCGTCCTTCTAAGGAGACAGAAAAAAGGCAATGAAAATGTTTGTGAGAAGTTTTTGTCTTTTATTCTTTAAAAATCAGTACTTCCATACTGATTAAAAAACATGGATTGGTATTCACCTTCCTTCTGAAGTTCTGTCATCGTAGTAGTCCCTTCTTGAACATTCCTGATCATACCTGCTGTCATCAGAGTATCTTCTTCTTCTTCTGGGAGATGGAGACCTGTCCCGCTCTATATGCCTATTCACAACCCAAAAAAACAAAGTTCTCAGTAAAAGGCTATGCTATTCTCTTTGTTCAGAGAAGGGCGACGAAGCTGGTGAGGGGCCTGGAGAACAAGTCCTACGAGGAGCGGCTGAAGGAGCTGGGCTTGTTCAGCCTGGAGAAGAGGAGGCTCAGGGGCGACCTTATCGCTCTCTACAGATACCTTAAAGGAGGCTGTAGTGAGGTGGGGGTTGGCCTGTTCTCCCACGTGCCTGGTGACAGGACGAGGGGGAATGGGCTAAAGTTACGCCAGGGGAGTTTTAGGTTAGATGTTAGGAAGAACTTCTTTACTGAAAGGGTTGTTAGGTACTGGAACAGGCTGCCCAGGGAGGTGGTGGAATCACCATCCCTGGAAATCTTCAAAAGACGTTTAGATGTAGAGCTTAGGGATATGGTTTAGTGGGGACTGTTAGTGTTAGGTTAGAGGTTGGACTTGATGATCTTGAGGTCTCTTCCAACCTAGAAATTCTGTGATTCTATTAATATCTACTTGAAAACAATCTTTTACATATATGCCAACAAGTCCACCTGTGCACTCTGGGTCTTAATACATGCATCACTCAAATAGAAGATGCTCCCTTTATAACAACATGTTGACAGCCAGGGAATAATTTTATATGTTTCACATATTTATATTTCTTAATCAAGAAAAGCACTGTAAAAGGAAGCACCTCCTACAACTTAGAAGTATGTGCCAAACAGTAATAGCATCAAATACCAAAGGCAAATGCTGCATGTGGTATTTCTTAAGATGTATGCATTCGTTTTGCCTACTTTTACTGGTGTTGCGTGAAACAGAAAACACACTATTGAAAATGATATTCTGTTTGGTACAAGATGTTTTATACCAATTAAAACATGAAATTAAATTGCTAGCAGTTCATCTCCTGCCTCAGTAGACTGCCCTTCAAATGATATTTCTGCTGGCTTTCATAAGCTTGCTCTAAAGCAACAGTTGTAGTATCAGCAATGAGTCAAAGAAAGAAGCTGGCATCTGATTTCCATTTTTGAGACCCTTGAGATTTTAACTAAATGAGTAAGGAATTTTTAAATAATTAGTTATAACAAGAAGTCTATTTAATTACCGTTTTCTTGGCATGCAAGTATTTTATTAAACCTGCAGTTATTTTTCACTGCTCAGTTATGGTAATAAATAAAAAGATAAAAAGCACGGAGTTTTTTTTGTTTTGGACTCATCTCTCTATGGGAGGTACATAAATGAAATAATAGGTTATATAAATCAGTCATTTCTACCTGTCCTCTGGAGACAAACTTCTGTGGCGTGAACTGTATTCCTCTTTCCTTTCGTGACTGGAGCCATGCTTTAAAGAAAACAGGGAAAAAAAAAATCAAGCCCCAGTGTTATAATATACTCAGTGTGAACATATGTATTTTGACATCAAGGCATATCATGGCTTTAGTCTCCTACTCCCTTACAAGAAGCAAAGGCCATCAAATAAAGCTTATAGCAGTCAGACTCATGACAAGGAGAGTTAGATCCAAATAACGCCTGCTTAAGCAGCTGAATTCCCTGCTACAGGATGACCCAGATTTTAAGTTTGGGCATGGGTTCATGACTCTCAGACTGAACACAGAAAACCAAAAATCACACAGGTTACCAAAGAAACTATCTGGCTCAGGAAACTGCAAGTAGGTGGAGACTGGGAATGCGGTTGTGAAGAGCAGGGCAGCCATTAAAGTACCTTCCTGAGGCATCTACTGTTGATTAGTACCAGAGACTACGGTAGGCTGATCTTCAGTCTCCCTTTGATCCTTTACTGCTTTCTTCCTCCACACATTACTGTACACTTTGTCACATCATATCCAATACTATTAACAGATTTCTACCACTTTGGTGTCTTTTCCCTCTTCTAAGAATCCTCTTTATTACATGTTTTTTGTTACACCTTCCTCTTTTTTTTCCTAATCATAATTTGTTTTCTTACTAAATCATTTCCAACTTCATAAATCATATAGATATCATAAATACAATATGTATTTAACACATGGGTAGAGCCAGGTCTTTTTAGGACTCCATTCTCAAGTTCTAGGCACACACAGCATGTGCCTTCGCACAAGCAGACCCTAACAGATAAGCGAACGTTCGCAGGAGTAAAACAATACTGTGGATGCAGCTGAAACTGCAAGTTCCCATGTCTCCATGCAAAAGCCAGCGATATTTGTTGAAGTCACCTGCAGCTCTTGGCCAGGCTTCCTGCCACAGCCACCAGCCTCCTTCCTAATCAATTTCCAAACGGCACACCTCTCCTAACTGGCTTATTTGGTAGATGAGGGAGCACTACTATAATCACATGACTGGGAAGATACAAGAAGATATCAACGTATCCCTCAAGCACCCCTATCAAAAGCCACATCAATCAGAAAGGTCAGGACAAACCTAAGAGCAAGGAAGCCCATGGGGGGTTCTAACCACCAGTAACAGAATAACCAACCCCCACAATTCAGGCTTAAGAATACTTACATTTATTTGCGTCACCCTGCTCTTCATCTCGACTTCTATTTTATGAAGCTCTGAACACGCAGCAAAGTGGAGATCAATGCATCAATAACATTTCATCTATAACACATAAAACACAATCAGTTTTTTTCTACCGCGTGAAATGGAGGAACCCGAATTTCTAGTTTGCTGTTTTCATACGCTCGAATGTTAAACCCAAACAAACAGCCCCACCACAGGTACGCACCCAACCCCCTCCTAGGGCTGCACAATACAGGCACAAGGCCGTGCGGGGCGCACAAACAGCAGCTGGACTTGGCCAGCGCCCCGCCACAGCCGGACCGGGCCCAGCCACACGGCCCCGAACCGCCTCAGCGCTGCGCCACTGCCCACGGCGGAGGCCGCGACCACCGCACCCCAGCGGCCGGGAGACCCAGAGGGGCCTGCCCCGCTCCCGGGGCTGTGTGCGTGTGTGTGGGGCAGGGCCGCCCCGCTCCCCTCCAGCCCCTCCCCCCCCCCCCCCCCCCCCCGAGCCGCCCACAGCGCAGGTCCCTGTGCAGGGCCTTCCTACCGTCTGGCAGATCAATGCTTCCCTCCAACTTCGTGTTGTCTGCAAACTTCCTGAGGGTGTGCTCAATTTCCTCATCTAACTGATCAATAAAAATATTAAAAAGGATGGGCCACAACACTGACCCCTGGGAAACACCACTGGTGATCAGTTGTCAACTGGATTTCACTCTGTTCACCACTACTCTCTGGGCCTGGCCATCCAGCCAGTTTTTAACCCAGCAAAGAGTGTACCTGTCCAAGCCATGGGCTACCAGGTTATCCAGGACAATACTGTGGGGAACCGTGTCAAAGGCCTTGCTGAAGTATAGGCCTTTTCTCTCATCCACCAGGAGGGTCACCCAGTCGTAGAAGGAGATGAGGTTGGTCAGGCAGGACTTGCCTTTCATGAACCCATGCTGACTGGGTCCCACGGTTGTCCCACAAACGTTACGTGATTGCATTTGAGATGACCTATTCTATCACTTTTCCTGGCACCAAGGTCAGGCTGACATGCCTGTAGTTCCCTGTGTCCTCCTTACGACCCTTCTTATAGACGTCCATCACATTAGCAAGTCTCCAGTCATCTGGGACCTCCCTGGATGACCGTGACTGCTGATAGATGATGGAAAGGAGCCCAGCAATCACATCTGCCAACTCCTTCAGCACACTTGGGTTGGATCCCATTGGCTCCATAGACTTGTGACAGTCCAGGTGGAGCAGCAGGTCTCTAACTTTCCACCTGAAGTGTGGGGGGTTTCTTCTGCTCCCCATCTCAGACTTCCAGGTCAGGAGGCTGAGACTTGACCACCTTCCTGGGCAAACCATTCTAATGCCTATCCAGTCTTCCTGAGAAGAAATGTCTCCTCATTTCCAACCTAAACCTCCCCTGGCACAACTGGAGGCCATTCCCTCTAGTCCTATCACTGGTTATCTGTGAGAAGAGGCCAACCCCCAGCTCCACACACCTTCCTTTCAGGTAGCTGTAGAGAGCAGTAAGGTCTCCCCTGAGCCTTCTCTCCTCCAGACTAAACAACCCCAGTGCCCTCAGCCGCTCCTCACAGGACTTGTGCTCCAGGCCCTTCCCCAGCTTCGCAGCCCTTCTCTGGGCACGCTCCAGGGCCTCGATGTCCTTCTTGTAGTGAGGCACCCAAAACTGAGCACAGTACTCAAGGTGCGGCCTAACCACAGCAGAGTACAGGGGAATGATCACCTCCCTGGTCCTGCTGGCCACACTATTCCTGATACAAGCCAGGATGCCGTAGGCCATCTTGGCCACCTGGGCACCCTGCTGGCTCATGTTCAGGCAAGCATCAACCAACACCTGCAGATTCTTTTCCTCTGCAGAGCTTCCAGTCACTCTGCCCCAAGCCTGTAGCGTTATCTGGGGTTGTTGCAGCCAAAGTGCAGGGCCCGGCCCTTCGCCATGTTGAACCTCATCGCATTGGCCTCTGCCCATCGATCCAAGCTGTCCAGGTCCCTCTGCAGGGCCTTCCTACCCTCTGGCAGATCACCACTTCCCCCCAACTTGGTATTGTCTGCAAACTTCATGAGGGTACACTCAACTCCCTCATCCAAATCATCAATACATATACTAAAAAGGGTAGGCCCCAATACTGACTGCTGGGGAACAAGAGTCAAAGAAATTTACAGGATACCTGTCTGTACAAATAAAGTACAAGTAAAAAAAATAATAAATTAAAATAAATTAAAAAGAAAAGAAACAAGCAAAAACAAACAAAAAAACCAACAACCAACAACAACAACGAAAAAAAAAAAACACCTTCCCCTAAGGGGAAGAGAATCGCTCCAAAATGTTTCATCATCACTGTGAAATGTGTGGCAGTGTGGTACATCCATCCTTCCAATAAAACCTGTACCTGCAGCATGCATGTCTGTCACTTCAGTAGGAGCTGTGGGTGAAACATTACCTGAAATACGTCAAGGACGTGCACTACGTAATACATTATACCATTTTGAGTGCTTTTGTGTGCTGTTGATTAGAGGGTTTTTTTGGCCGCTGAAAGTTTGAAGTAGCAGAGCACCACTGATTGACACTAAAGGGGAGTCTGGCTCATTATAGGCCCAAGTTTGTTTGGACTGTAAAAAGTAATTAAAGGTATAGGGGTGAAAAATAGGAAAATGCTATGTAAGGTCTTAAAATGCTTACAGTTCATTTTCAGCTCATGTGAGATAATGAAAACAAACTCTTAGAGGACACAGCAGATCAGGGTCAGAAAGGCATTAATTCAGCAGAGCCAGATGGTTTCTGTAGGGACATCTGGAAGTGAGCAGCGTGCCGGGAGCCAGCAGGGCAGGAGCTCTGCAGCAGCACTGCCTACGTGCAGCCTGCCAGCTCTGGTGTGTGTGCCCCTCTGTGTGCACACCTGGTGGGGTGCAGTATTTTGTAAGGTGGAGGCAGTGGCAATGAGGTGGGAGTCATGTTGGCAAAGCACATGATTTCCTCCTTCAAACAAAATGAAGAAACGTAACAACAGAGTAATTCTGGTGATCATTTGTGTACTTTGGCCTCACGGTTACAGCCAAGAATAGTGATGGTACTCTCTGCTAGCGCATTGCTCCAGCTGAAATTTGTTTGATCATAATATCCATAGACCAGTCTACAAGAGCTGCAGATATTAGCATGCAATATCCCTGTGATGCGTTGGGAAAGCATGTCATTTTACATGCCTTATTCACATTCCCCCTTTCCTTCTGTTAGAATTGTGCCCACGGTCACACACGGTGGTTGAGGCTGCAGGACAAGGATCACTCTCTTGTGTCTGGGTAGTTGTTAAGAAGACTCTGTCCTCCCCTGTACTGTAAGGTCCTTGTTCTGTCCCAAACACTCAGGGGCAGCTCAGTGCTTCATCTCCACTTTGTTACATGATGCTGGGAAGTCTTACACACCAGACAGCAACAGTATGGGTAAACAGCATGCATGGGGAAAGAAAGTAGAGACGCATTACTTCCTGAAAGATTTGGGAAATGTTACTGAAATGGTGCAGAAAGCCAGCTAATTAAAAGTGCTCCAAAGTACCAAATAAACACTGAAATCAAAATGGTTAACTAAAGAAAAATAGAAGTTTAATTAAAAAAAAAATACTGAAAGAAAAACACTTTTAGAAGTACCACTTGGTGCTTATTTCTAATTAAAATCCCTTTAATAGATAGTTTGACATCCTAGTATTTATAGTTTAGGTAGCAAATTCAAAGCTCCCTACTTTTTTTTTTTTTTTGGAATATGTATTTCTCTTTATTTTTTTGCTAGTTTCTAAAACTAATTTACCCTCAGGAATCCCAGAATTTTTTCATGTTCACGAGAGGTCTGATTGCTGGAATATCTAACTTTTTTTTTTAAATGACCTTTCATGACATTCATTTGCTTCTTTTGTTATTTGGCAGCCTTATTCTTCCGTTAACACATGTAATTCAGTACTTGGCTCCTTGTGGGAATGGTGCAAGGCATCCGCTTTTCAAGAATGGGACATTGATTAAGAAAAGATAGTTACTGAAAAGATGGGGATGTTTGTTGCTCTTAATAACAAAGCATTCTTAATTTGTGCATGCTCTGTTATATTTGTCATTGCTTAAGTACATGCGTACAGACCACTGGATAAGAGTATTAAAAATTGAATAAAATGTGAAGTGTTAAATATGTAAGCACATTCTCATTAATATGGAAATATAGTATTTATTTTTTGAGAATTCTCTCGAGACAAAGCTATTTGTACTAAAAACAAAAATACTTTTTAAATCCCAGTGATGAACACAACCTCCTCATTGTGCCCTGAGGATTGCTTTGCAAAATCATGACTGCAACATGCTCTACATCCAACAGGGGTGTTCTCCTACTTGAAGTATGGTGTGGAGCTGGTGAGTTTGCAGAGCTGGGGCCAAATAGTTGTGAATTTGTGAACAGCATGGGCTTGGGATGATGACTTTGAGTGGAGCCTTAATTGCATATTTTATTTATTTTTAATGATTGTCTTGCATATTTTCTAAAAATAAATAATATGTTTAGTTATATAACTAGCAAATGTGACCATAATTATGATTCACTTTAGATAAGCCTTGATTCTACTACCAGGTTCTGTCCTGTCAGATGATTGCCACTGATATTAGGACATTATATCACATCAAAAAATATTCTGAAATGATGTAATTTGGAAGAACCATTCATGCGTGGTATTTATGATCACATTGAGTATACATAAACATAAAAAATATGAAGCAGCTATCTTTTGATTCAAGTATAGGAAAATGTTTTAGTCATGCCAACTTTCATATAGTTGCACCCTGTAGTTAAAAGACAAGTAAAAGGCCAATAGCAGGAATGAAGGCTACTTTTTAAATAGGTATTACTTTATGGAAATGAGAATTTCCATTTTAGACATAATTGGCTGCAACTTCATTATCTGAAACCTGCAGTGTGGTGTACCATATCTCACAGTATTGCTAGAAGAAGTCTGCTTTACCAGCAGCCATCCCTCAAAAATTAGCTAAGTCCTTATTCAAGTCCAATTTTAAAAATGTATGCTGATACAGCTATAATATGCAATTACAGCTGAAAGCAGGAAAGACGCATTCATGCCCACGCCCTGTGCTCAATTCAAAGACAGATTCCAAGACGTTTTGATGAAAACACGCATCTGTAGCAAATGTTATATCGTCAGACACATAGAACTAGTAATTCCCATTTCTTAATTATCAAAATTGTGAAGTAACTCAGGAAAGAAAACTGATCAGATAATGAATTATCAGGTGTAATCTCAGTCAGAAAATCTACTTATACCAGTGAGGCACCTGTTGGGCCAGACTTACAAACTTTATGACCAGCATTGAGTAGTTTGTCAAACATCTGATTCATACAGATACTGTATATGATGCGGAACACCTGCTATTTTGCTTTCATTTTAACAGACATTACAGGCTTCAGACCTCAGCATTCAACACACAAAATCGTGACATAGTGAGTCGGGGACACTCATTAAATAATAATTATACTGGTCAAAGTCTAGTTAATTTACTGCAGCAGTTTAAGACTTAGCCCCCAAAGTGTAAGCTGTCTGTCCTGCCAAAGAATACAATCCCACACAAGAGTCAGGGAAATGGAACATCAGGCCATGCCTGAGATGGCACAGCATGTATGCAGCATTTAACTCAAACCACTTTAATTTAAACAGTCTTTGCTCTTGAAGACTTGAAGAACTTGAACACTTTAACGTACTTGAAGAACACTTGAACATTTTAACACACACAAATCCATGGGCCCCGATGGGATGCATCCATGTGTGCTGAGGGAACTGGCCGAGGTGATCGCCAAACCACTCTATCATCTTTGAAAGGTCTTGGAGAACAGGAGATGTGCCTGAAGACTGGAGGATAGCCAATGTCACTCTGGTCTTCAAGAAGGGCAAGAAGGAGTAACTGGGAAACTACAGGCAAGTAAGTCTCACCTCTGTCCCTGGGAAGGTATTGGAGCAAATTCTTGGGGGGGGACCAGGAGCGGGGACCAGGACTGGAGACCAGCTGAGAATCCATCTAAGTTCACTGGAAACAGACAAGGTGAAAGAAGTCCTCAAGCTCCCCAACCCAAATCAAATTTTTAACCCAGGAACACTTACCTGCCAGCTTCTGAAGTTGACTCACTGCCGAACAACTTCACGGGGAAGTAGCACCACCAGAGTTTTCCTGTTCTGAGTAGTCACCACTGATGTTACTAGCTCATAGAGTCTCCAAAACTATTTCACAGAGATAGTAGAAAACACAAAGAAAAAGCAGCCTACTTGGGAACACTGAGTCCATTTCACAAGGACAGTAGAAAAGTACCCTAAGTAACCTGAACCTCAAACTCCCCTGGAGTGGCAATTCTTCCCATAACTCCTCATGCTTGCTATATAGCAAAGGTCAAATGATCCCCACCTGGCAGATTTCACTTCACATGTGTGGAGTCATGAGACCTTGTGGAATAGGCTCATCAACCTGGTTTCAATGTTTAAGGTTCCATTGCTCCTTATTGCTAATAGAAATAACCTGACAAGGGACTTAGTGGTTAAGAGTTGACCTAATGAATTAAATACAAAAGGCATGTAAGGGTCATATTTCTGCTAGTCATTCTGTGAGGAAAATTAGTACAGAGCCTGTTAAAATAAGATAAATAAACATAAATAAAATAAATAAATAAAAGAAAAATGACCTAAAAGGCAAAATTGCCGTCATAGGTTTTCATCTGTCTAGTCACAACAGATAAAGAATATAGCAATCAGAAAGACTTTGCTTGACATTAATGTTGCTTAAATTTGCTTTTCTGAGATCTCTTCTTTATGCTGGACTTTTAAAAATCTAGCGCCATGACCTCCGACTGCAGTATTTACTTTGGCTACATATAAACTATCACATATAAATGCCAGGATACGGATCCTCACTCCGTATTCACGTCAAGGACCGGGCTGAAAGTTTTGGCTTTAATTTGGTTACATGACTAAATTGCTGTCGTTGTGGTTTCCCCCAGCCAGCAGCTAAGCACCACACAGCCGTTCGCGCAGCCGTTCGTTCGCTCAAGGCTTGTTGGAGCAACATGTGTAGGAGCAGTTTAATATTTTATGCATACAAGGGATTGAAGTGTAAATATGGCCTCATGGCTGAACAATGGGTATTATTAAGTTTCCATTGGTCTTTGTGGGAGAACAGCACACAGGGAATCAGCAGGAAACAGCTAAAAGATACTTCATCACAATTCATAGTGGTTCTCAAAATTACATTTTATTAAGAAAAGTTATTTTATTAAGAAAAGGTTACACATAGACAAGTTCATATAGCAAGTGTGGGGTGTTGCAGAATTCTCGTCTGCAGCTGATGGCACTATCTGCTCCTCTGTAGGACTGTCCCGTAGGATGTTGATGCATCTCCAGCAGTGCATCAAGGAGAGGTGGCCAGGAGCGTGGTATCATGGGCTCGTGTCCATGTCCAGCGCTGAGGCTAGCAGAGAAGCAAAAGCACTAACAAGCGAACCCCTGTGTGTTGTGCCACCCACCTCCTGGGCCCACCCTGTCACCAGCCCCACTGTGATGTGACCGTGATATCAGTGGGGCTGGTGCCAGCAGCACAATGTGGGAAGGGATTGGGTGTTGACCTTCCTTATCATGTGGCCATGGAGTCCAGAGATCTCTCCTGTAGAGTGTTGACACGTCTCCGGCGGAGTGCTGGAAGAAGGCTGTAGCCATGGTCTTGCTATGTCCTTTTCCAGGATTCTATCTGTAATAATAATAATAAAAAAAAAAAAAACAGCTGGAAGGGAGTGGCTGCCCTTCATTGCCATGGAGGGCCTCTCCTCTCCCTTCTCAGCCCACACTCATCTGGCTACTCCTCGGCCGGACTGGCTGGACTGGCCTGCTGCGGCCCTTTTATAGCCGCCAGGGCTGGCTGCATCACAGGCTCCCTCTGTGACATGGCCACCGCCAACATTCTGTCCCCTGTGACATGGCCATGGCATCATCAGGACCAGTGCCCACTGAGCAGAAGAAGCGGTTAAATAAAATAAAGTAAAATAAAGTAAAATAAAGTAAAATAAAAGTAGAACAACAAACAACAGCCACTTGTAATTCTGGGGAGAGAAATTCAGCAGCTGTAAGATCGGTTTGAAGATCAGCAGCTCAGCAAAGGTTAAAAGAGCATCAAATCCTGCAGGTACTTCCTACGCACTGCCACATTTTAAAGATTTGTGTGGTACTTCCTGCTGAGATTTGTGGGCTTGAAGGCTCATTTGCAGCAGAAAAATGTTTGCTGTCTGGAGGTGATGCTTCACACTTTGGGTATGAAAGATGTCCAGAAATTCTGTGATTCTGTGTTCATCCTAATCCACAACATAGCACCCTACCAGCTCCTAGGAGGAAAATTAACTCTATCCTAGCTGAAACCAGGACAGCTGTTTTCTGGCAGGTCGCGGGGAGAAGATTGGCTGGCTTGGGGGAGCTTCTGTACATGTAGCTTTTAGGCTGCAGACAAAGTGTTCCTCTAGATCTGGAAGTCTGAAGATTTGCTGAGTGGTTAGAAAGCTGCCTGGCAGAAAAGACCTGGGAGCATTGGTGGATAGTCAGCTGAATATGAGCCAGCAGTGTGCTCAGGTGGCCAAGAAGGCCAGCAGCATCCTGGCTTGTATAAGAAGCAGTGTGGCCAGCAGGGCTAGGGAAGTGATTTTCTCCCTGTACTTGGCTCTGGTGAGGCCGCACCTCGAGTACTGTGTTCGGTTTTGGGCCCCTGGCTACAAGAAGGACATGGAGGTGCTCAAGCGAGTCCAGAGAAGGGCAATTAAACTGGTGAGGGGGTTTGGAGAACAAGTCTTACGAGGAGCTGCTGAAGGAGCTGGGATTGTTCAGCTTGCAAAAGACAAGGCTCAGGGGCGGCCTTATCGCACTCTACGGGTACCTTAAACGAAGATGTAGTAAAGTGGGGGTGGGTCTATTTTCCCATGTTCCTGGTGACAGGACGAGGAGAAATGGGCTAAAGTTGTGCCAGGTTTAGGTTGTTTAGGTTGGATATTAGAAAGACCTTCTTTACCGAAAGGGTTGTTAGACATTGGAATGGGCTGCCCAGGGAAGTGGTGGAGTCACCATCCCTCGGTGTCTTTAAAAGATGTTTAGATGTAGAGCTTAGTGATATGGTTTAGTGGAGGACTGGTTAGTATTAGGTCAGAGGTTGGGCTTGGTGATCTTGGAGGTCTCTTCCAACCTAGATAGTTCTGTGTTTCTGTTGCAGTCTCCCAGCTCAGAGCCAACCACTTATTAGTCTAGCGCAATGGATTTGTGTGTTCCTTGCACTAGCTCTTCCTTCACCTCCTCTTCACATACAAGGACACGCATCTCTTTCATGCTCCTTCACGTGTAAACAAGCCAGGAGAGATTAAAGCCTCTTTCTTCAGGTCAGTAAGATCCCTGCCTTTGGTTTCAGTGAGAAGTCAGGCCCTAAAAACTCAAGTGTCTTCTGGACGGTGTTTCTGCTGGGTAGGACAATTTCATTTCCCTTTTGAAGACTTACAGCAAAAACAAAGGCATACAACAACAAAAGCAAAGGCATAAAACGGTACCTGAGGCACAGGCTACTTTTCAGCCTGCAGCAGACTACAGGTATGATATCATCCTTTGATATCATACCTATATCATATTATCATGTTATCAGGAAACGTAGAAAACTGCCTGTTGCTTCTCGGGTTTAAAGTTTTCCCTTAAAAGGTGTATGCAAAGGTGTAATGAGGTGTTTGAGTACAATTCTCACGTATACATGAACATTTTCCTCTCCCCTTCCCAACTTGGAGTGCAACACTTTTCATCATACTGTTATAAATTCCGAGTCAACTTAGCTTTATGAGATTTATTTATGGGGTTAATAAAAAAGGCCAGTAACGAGCGCTGGGTGCGCGGGGAGTCTGGGCTCCTCCAACACGCACACACGTTTCATCAGGCGGCAGCTTTTTCTGCTCCTAGGCTAATACATGTTCATTACTACTTCTAGAAAAGGCAGGGTTATTATAATTAGTTCCCGGATTCCGAACCCTCCCACTGGCTCATGCGTATCAGTCCCCGGTAGTCCCTCTGGGGGTCTCTCATGCTGAAGGCTCATAGTCTTCCTCCCAGGCTTTGTCCTTCTCCTTCTCTTTTGTACATCTTAGCTGGATGTCAGGCATTGCCTCTAACTCAATACAAGGAAGAGAGAGAAGCACACCTTTCTACTCTGTCAGCTACTGGCAGACCTAGAGAGAAAAAAAAAAAAAAAAGTTGTTAATTAAAAAGTAATGTTTTAAGGTATTTCACCAAATATGTTAATATTTGGTAGAAACCAGACAACAAATGAAAGGGAAGAAGAAACGGTAGAAGGTACTTGCATGACCTTAATTTACACGGCAATGGACAACAACAACAACCTGCAATGATTCAGAAGTGCCTTACACCATTCACCCTTGAGACAGAAAACTGGGATTCCCATATGATGTAAGGGGAGTGCAATCCCTCTCAAAATACAAGAGCCTGGGGGACACTACCAAGTACTGAAAAAGTTAAGGCTAGGCAGCACCAAACTCAACAGAGAAGGGAGGCCGAGTCTCCCTGGCTGTTCACGTAACAGACAAGAGCCTCAGCTTTTAGCCCTAAGCAATGATTCGTAGTGCCAGGCGGGGAACTAGTTCTTCTTAAGCCAGGGACCATTTCAGCATCTTTAAAGCTACAGAAAGGCTTGAAGGCTCTGTGGAATCATGTTCCTGGCACAAAAATCTGGGGACCAGGACTGGGCAAGTGGGGCACAAGTGTGCTGGGGAGCAAGCTCTCAGGGCTGATTACCAGGGCTTTAAACTAGGTTTGATGGGGGAAGGGAGGGGAGCTAAAGGTGACAGAGAAGGGCTGGGCGAAGTCCTCACTACTCTTATAAATGGCTCAGTCTTCAAAATAGGACTATAATCAAAGTTTACAATTTATTAAAGGAATAGAAGTAAGCAAACAGTGATGGGTGCGCTGGGAGTCTCTGCTGCACCAAGACGCACACCAGTTACATCAAGCAGCTGATTTTTACGCTCCTAGGCTAACACATATTCATTACTGCTTCTAAAAAAAACCAGGGTTACTATAATTAGTTTCCAGAATCCAAACCCTCCTACTGGAGCATGCGTATCATTCTCCGGTGGTCCCTCTGGGGGTCTCTCATGCGGAAGGCTCATAGTCTTCCTCCCTCTGGTCCTTCTCCTTTGTCCAACTTGACTGTATGTCGGAGACTTGTGCAGTGTCCCCTGCAAGCTTTGTCTTTTAGTCATTCTTCAGCTCTCCCCGTCTCCTTAGTCTCCTGGCCAGATACCAGAGACTTGCATAGTGTCCCATGCAATAGTCATAATAGTTAGCAGCTATTCTGAACCCCCCCAGATATCAGAGACTTCAAGTAAAAGCCTACAAATACATTTCCCTTCAAGCTCTCTATTGACACAAATCGAATTGCTAAAACATTCCTTTGCAAGGTACAAGAACTACATACATGTACATTAACCACTCTGTTTTTCTTAGACTTGTGCTTATAGAAGGGTCTGTAGGACAGAAGGTCACATTCATCATACCATGCAGCCCTAGCATTGTTCCATACTGCCACGGATCAGATGAACACATTTCACACCACTGTCACTGTTGAAGACAGGGAAAAACTTCTGAGCTCTCCCATAGGATTGTCTGAGGGCTCCTCAGAGAAGGTAGCGTTCCCAATCCCCCGTCCAGTATCTTCTTCTTGCATCCCCCCGGGGTAACTGTACCTGCTGCTTCCCTAAAGGGCCTGTGCACGGAGCATGGGAAATAAACAGGATGAGCTCTAGATCTGCGTTCGGACACAGGGCCACGATCTCGTTGCGATCACTGAGACGTGGTGGGACAGCTCACATGACTGGAACACAATCATGGAGGGCTACATCCTCTTTAGGAGAGACAGGCGGGGGAAGCAAGGGGGTGGGGTTGCCCTTATGTGAGGGAGCAATTAGAGTGTACCCAGCCCCAGCTGGGGGAGGGTGATGGACAGGTGGAGAGCTTGTGAGTAAAAAAACAAAAAGGGTGGGCTTGTATAGGAGACATGGTGGTGGGGGTCTACTACAGGTCTCCAGATCAGGAGGAGGAAGTCGACAAGGCCTTCTACGAGCAGCTGCTAGTAGCCTCACAATCACGAGCACTGGTCCACATGGGGGACTTCAATTACCCAGACATCTGCTGGGTAAGTAATTCAAACAGGCACGAGCAAATCAAACGGTTCCTAATATGCGTTGAGGACAATTTTCTGATGGACTCGGGCCCTGGAGGACTCGGGCCCTGGAGGACTCGGGCCCTGGAGGACTCGGGCCCTGGAGGACTCGGGCCCTGGAGGACTCGGGCCCTGGAGGACTCGGGCCCTGGAGGACTCGGGCCCTGGAGGACTCGGGCCCTGGAGGACTCGGGCCCTGGAGGACTCGGGCCCTGGAGGACTCGGGCCCTGGAGGACTCGGGCCCTGGAGGACTCGGGCCCTGGAGGACTCGGGCCCTGGAGGACTCGGGCCCTGGAGGACTCGGGCCCTGGAGGACTCGGGCCCCTGGAGGACTCGGGCCCTGGAGGACTCGGGCCCTGGAGGACTCGGGCCCTGGAGGACTCGGGCCCTGGAGGACTCGGGCCCTGGAGGACTCGGGCCCTGGAGGACTCGGGCCCTGGAGGACTCGGGCCCTGGAGGACTCGGGCCCTGGAGGACTCGGGCCCTGGAGGACTCGGGCCCTGGAGGACTCGGGCCCTGGAGGACTCGGGCCCTGGAGGACTCGGGCCCTGGAGGACTCGGGCCCTGGAGGACTCGGGCCCTGGAGGACTCGGGCCCTGGAGGACTCGGGCCCTGGAGGACTCGGGCCCTGGAGGACTCGGGCCCTGGAGGACTCGGGCCCTGGAGGACTCGGGCCCTGGAGGACTCGGGCCCTGGAGGACTCGGGCCCTGGAGGACTCGGGCCCTGGAGGACTCGGGCCCTGGAGGACTCGGGCCCTGGAGGACTCGGGCCCTGGAGGACTCGGGCCCTGGAGGACTCGGGCCCTGGAGGACTCGGGCCCTGGAGGACTCGGGCCCTGGAGGACTCGGGCCCTGGAGGACTCGGGCCCTGGAGGACTCGGGCCCTGGAGGACTCGGGCCCTGGAGGACTCGGGCCCTGGAGGACTCGGGCCCTGGAGGACCCGGGCCCTGGAGGACTCGGGCCCTGGAGGACTCGGGCCCTGGAGGACTCGGGCCCTGGAGGACTCGGGCCCTGGAGGACTCGGGCCCTGGAGGACTCGGGCCCTGGAGGACTCGGGCCCTGGAGGACTCGGGCCCTGGAGGACTCGGGCCCTGGAGGAACTCGGGCCCTGGGAGGACTCGGGCCCTGGAGGACTCGGGCCCTGGAGGACTCGGGCCCTGGAGGACTCGGGCCCTGGAGGACTCGGGCCCTGGAGGACTCGGGCCCTGGAGGACTCGGCCCCTGGAGGACTCGGGCCCTGGCGGACTCGGGCCCTGAGGACTCGGGCCCTGGAGGACTCGGTCCCTGGAGGACTCGGGCCCTGGAGGACTCGGGCCCTGGAGGACTCGGGCCCTGGAGGACTCGGGCCCTGGAGGACTCGGGCCCTGGAGGACTCGGGCCCTGGAGGACTCGGGCCCTGGAGGACTCGGGCCCTGGAGGACTCGGGCCCTGGAGGACTCGGGCCCTGGAGGACTCGGGCCCTGGAGGACTCCGGGCCCTGGAGGACTCGGGCCCTGGAGGACTCGGGCCCTGGAGGACTCGGGCCCTGGAGGACTCGGGCCCTGGAGGACTCGGGCCCTGGAGGACTCGGGCCCTGGAGGACTCGGGCCCTGGAGGACTCGGGCCCTGGAGGACTCGGGCCCTGGAGGACTCGGGCCCTGGAGGACTCGGGCCCTGGAGGACTCGGGCCCTGGAGGACTCGGGCCCTGGAGGACTCGGGCCCTGGAGGACTCGGGCCCTGGAGGACTCGGGCCCTGGAGGACTCGGGCCCTGGAGGACTCGGGCCCTGGAGGACTCGGGCCCTGGAGGACTCGGGCCCTGGAGGACTCGGGCCCTGGAGGACTCGGGCCCTGGAGGACTCGGGCCCTGGAGGACTCGGGCCCTGGAGGACTCGGGCCCTGGAGGACTCGGGCCCTGGAGGACTCGGGCCCTGGAGGACTCGGGCCCTGGAGGACTCGGGCCCTGGAGGACTCGGGCCCTGGAGGACTCGGGCCCTGGAGGACTCGGGCCCTGGAGGACTCGGGCCCTGGAGGACTCGGGCCCTGGAGGACTCGGGCCCTGGAGGACTCGGGCCCTGGCGGACTCGGGCCCTGGAGGACTCGGGCCCTGGAGGACTCGGGCCCTGGAGGCCTCGGGCCCTGGAGGACTCGGGCCCTGGAGGACTCGGGCCCTGGAGGAACTCGGGCCCTGGAGGACTCGGGGCCCTGGAGGACTCGGGGCCCTGGAGGGACTCGGGCCCTGGAGGACTCGGGCCCTGGGAGGACTCGGCCCTGGAGGACTCGGGCCCTGGAGGACTCGGGCCTGGAGGACTCGGGCCCTGGAGGACTCGGGCCCTGGAGGACTCGGGCCACTGGAGGACTCGGGACCTGGAGGACTCGGGCCCTGGAGGACTCGGGCCCTGGAGGACTCGGGCCCTGGAGGACTCGGGCCCTGGAGGACTCGGGCCCTGGAGGACTCGGGCCCTGGAGGACTCGGGCCCTGGAGGACTCGGGCCCTGGAGGACTCGGGCCTGGAGGACTCGGGCCCTGGAGGGACCTCGGGCCTGGAGGACTCGGGCCCTGGAGGACTCGGGCCTGGAGGACTCGGGCCCTGAGGACTCGGGCCTGGATGACTCGGCCCGAGGACTCGGGCCTGGAGGACTCGGGCCCTGGAGGACTCGGGCCCTGGAGGACTCGGGCCCTGGAGGACTCGGGCCCTGGAGGACTCGGGCCCTGGAGGACTCGGGCCCTGGAGGACTCGGGCCCTGGAGGACTCGGGCCCTGGAGGACTCGGGCCCTGGAGGACTCGGGCCCTGGAGGACTCGGGCCCTGGAGGACTCGGGCCCTGGAGGACTCGGGCCCTGGAGGACTCGGGCCCTGGAGGACTCGGGCCCTGGAGGACTCGGGCCCTGGAGGACTCGGGCCCTGGAGGACTCGGGCCCTGGAGGACTCGGGCCCTGGAGGACTCGGGCCCTGGAGGACTCGGGCCCTGGAGGACTCGGGCCCTGGAGGACTCGGGCCCTGGAGGACTCGGGCCCTGGAGGACTCGGGCCCTGGAGGACTCGGGCCCTGGAGGACTCGGGCCCTGGAGGACTCGGGCCCTGGAGGACTCGGGCCCTGGAGGACTCGGGCCCTGGAGGACTCGGGCCCTGGAGGACTCGGGCCCTGGAGGACTCGGGCCCTGGAGGACTCGGGCCCTGGAGGACTCGGGCCCTGGAGGACTCGGGCCCTGGAGGACTCGGGCCCTGGAGGACTCGGGCCCTGGAGGACTCGGGCCCTGGAGGACTCGGGCCCTGGAGGACTCGGGCCCTGGAGGACTCGGGCCCTGGAGGACTCGGGCCCTGGAGGACTCGGGCCCTGGAGGACTCGGGCCCTGGAGGACTCGGGCCCTGGAGGACTCGGGCCCTGGAGGACTCGGGCCCTGGAGGACTCGGGCCCTGGAGGACTCGGGCCCTGGAGGACTCGGGCCCTGGAGGACTCGGGCCCTGGAGGACTCGGGCCCTGGAGGACTCGGGCCCTGGAGGACTCGGGCCCTGGAGGACTCGGGCCCTGGAGGACTCGGGCCCTGGAGGACTCGGGCCCTGGAGGACTCGGGCCCTGGAGGACTCGGGCCCTGGAGGACTCGGGCCCTGGAGGACTCGGGCCCTGGAGGACTCGGGCCCTGGAGGACTCGGGCCCTGGAGGACTCGGGCCCTGGAGGACTCGGGCCCTGGAGGACTCGAGGCCCTGGAGGACTCGGGCCCTGGAGGACTCGGGCCCTGGAGGACTCGGGCCCCTGGAGGACTCGGGCCTGGAGACTCGGGCCCTGGAGGACTCGGGCCCTGGAGGACTCGGGCCCTGGGAAGGACCGGGCCCTGGCGGACTCGGGCCCTGGAGGAACTCGGGCCATGGAGGACTCGGGCCCTGGCGGACTCGGGCCCTGGAGGACTCGGGCCCTGGAGGACTCGGGCCCTGGAGGACTCGGGCCCTGGAGGACTCGGGCCCTGGAGGACTCGGGCCCTGGAGGACTCGGGCCCTGGAGGACTCGGGCCCTGGAGGACTCGGGCCCTGGAGGACTCGGGCCCTGGAGGACTCGGGCCCTGGAGGACTCGGGCCCTGGAGGACTCGGGCCCTGGAGGACTCGGGCCCTGGAGGACTCGGGCCCTGAGGACTCGGGCCCTGGAGGACTCGGGCCCTGGAGGATCGGGCCCTGGAGGACTCGGGCCCTGGAGGACTCGGGCCCTGGAGGACTCGGGCCCTGGAGGACTCGGGCCCTGGAGGACTCGGGCCCTGGAGGACTCGGGCCCTGGAGGACTCGGGCCCTGGAGGACTCGGGCCCTGGAGGACTCGGGCCCTGGAGGACTCGGGCCCTGGAGGACTCGGGCCCTGGAGGACTCGGGCCCTGGAGGACTCGGGCCCTGGAGGACTCGGGCCCTGGAGGACTCGGGCCCTGGAGGACTCGGGCCCTGGAGGACTCGGGCCCTGGAGGACTCGGGCCCTGGAGGACTCGGGCCCTGGAGGACTCGGGCCCTGGAGGACTCGGGCCCTGGAGGACTCGGGCCCTGGAGGACTCGGGCCCTGGAGGACTCGGGCCCTGGAGGACTCGGGCCCTGGAGGACTCGGGCCCTGGAGGACTCGGGCCCTGGAGGACTCGGGCCCTGGAGGACTCGGGCCCTGGAGGACTCGGGCCCTGGAGGACTCGGGCCCTGGAGGACTCGGGCCCTGGAGGACTCGGGCCCTGGAGGACTCGGGCCCTGGAGGACTCGGGCCCTGGAGGACTCGGGCCCTGGAGGACTCGGGCCCTGGAGGACTCGGGCCCTGGAGGACTCGGGCCCTGGAGGACTCGGGCCCTGGAGGACTCGGGCCCTGGAGGACTCGGGCCCTGGAGGACTCGGGCCCTGGAGGACTCGGGCCCTGGAGGACTCGGGCCCTGGAGGACTCGGGCCCTGGAGGACTCGGGCCCTGGAGGACTCGGGCCCTGGAGGACTCGGGCCCTGGAGGACTCGGGCCCTGGAGGACTCGGGCCCTGGAGGACTCGGGCCCTGGAGGACTCGGGCCCTGGAGGACTCGGGC